AGTGCTGGAATTACAGGCACCCACCATCCCTCACCCTCGACTAATTTTTATATTTTTAGTAGTGACAGCATTTCACCTTGTTGGCAAAGCTGGTCTTGAACTCCTGACCTCACTTGATCTGCTCATCTCGGGCTCCCAAAGTGCTGGGATTATAGGCATGAGCCACTGTACCCAGCCAGAAAACATAGATTACTAAATTTGAATGAACATGAAATAGAAACACAAACACTTGTAATCATTAAAATGGAATAAAATATGTAAAATTATGCACACGCACATTTATTTCAGCAGAAACTTCATATTGGATGTAATCTTGGGGAATTAGCAGATACGTTCTTACATATGAAAACACATAGGACAAACCTACATAAATTCTGAGTAAAGTAACAGCTCGTTTAACAGCTCACTTATATTAAAATCAAAAGTTGAGAGAGGGAAGGACAATGAAATGAAGAAAGTAGGAACATAATGATTTTCAACTGAAGTAGGCACGCACAAAAAAAGTGAATCGGCAAAAAGAAAGGAGACCCAAAACCCCACAAAACCTGCATTAAAGCCGCACAGTCTGGCAGTCCTTACCCTCAGCGTAAGAGCAAATTTACCTAAATATCACTCCTGAGAGCTCGGCAGTCCTCCAGCCCCAGACAATTACCGCCTCTGATGGCACCTGCCTGACTGAATAAAAGTTGCTGAGATGTCCAATATACTCTATTATAAGAAGGGGGCAAAATAGAAACCAATAGTTTTAACTATCCCTAAGACAAGAGTTAAATAGTAAGTTTCATGCATAAGAAAAATTCACTGTGGGGGAAAACTCACTCTTGCGAATACCAGATAAACGGGGTACAAGTGAAGATTGCAAAGCAGGTAGTGAGAAGGACACACATGGGCGTGTTTTAACATTCTGCTCCTAAGAAAAACTCCTCCTCACCGCATGTTCTCACTCATAAGTAGGTGTTGAATAATGAGAACACGTGGACACAGGGAGGGGAACATCACACACTGCGGCCTGTTGGGGGAAGGATAGCAGGGGGTGGGGGATAGAGGAGGGATAGCATTAGGAGAAATACCTAATGTAGATGATGGAGTGATGGATGCAGCAAACCACTGTGGCATGTGTATACCTATGTAACTAACCTGCACTTTCTGCACATGTACCCCAGAACTTAAGTATAATTTAAAAAAAAGAAAGAAATACTGCCTCTGACTTTGTATTGCTCTTTTCACCACAGCTTTTAGTTTTAAGACAATGAAAATCACCAGACAAAAATCATTTGACCGTCACTCTTGGCTTGGCTAACGTGTGCTCAGCCAAGAATTCACAAGGGAAAGCTCCTGGGTCACACTGCTCCAAAGGAAACTGGGCACTTTTTGTTTTTATGGACAGTGTGCACTTTGGCTCTTGTCCAAGGACATGTATTATTTTTTAAAGTTTACCTAGGAAACAAGTCAAAGAAATTCATCTAGCCTGCTGAGTAGAACAGTAGGAGAAAGAAATTCCGAGGAACACTTGCCAGAGAATTAATATATTTTTAATGATTAACATTACACTAAGGGTTAAACAACTCTTAAGGTGCATTATTTTATATTCCTATTGCTCTGGAAAATTAGCTTCTCTTACTTGAATGCCTGCAACACTGTCTACCCAATAACCGGCCACACATATTCTGGTTTTGAATGTCTCTGAAAGTTACCCACTCTGCATTGATGTCTCCCTTAATGAAGTGATACTCTTCCCCCAAAGATAGAGATCAGTCCTTATGTAGCATATTGCCTATCCCATAGTAGAAAATATTCTTTTCTGCTGTGAAAGAATTGATTCAATGGATTTTGATGATGCTTCTTTCTACATTCCTTCTGAAATATGAGAATCATTTGTTAATCACTGATAAATTCCCTACAGTGCTCTGAAGATAGGGACAAAATAAATATTGGTTGAATAAATGCCCCTTTTCATCATTTTTAAGCTCTGTCTACCAAAAGAGAGGGAGTGGATTAAAAGTGTAAACTTTAATCAGGCTAGACTTAAATTTGAGCATTGTAGCCCTCTGAGCCTCAGTTTCCTCATCTACAATATGGGAATAATAATGATAGATACCTCACAGGGCTGTTGAGAGAATGAAATGAGATCGTGCACACAATGTGGAGCAGAGAGTAATATTCATAACTGACTACTATTATTTTTATTTTGGTTCCCATGCTTCTGGGTAATAGAAAGGGTTATCCATATGTCAAACTTTTTCACCATGACACTTCTGCTTTATTCTTATTCAAGTTAAACTCACTTCAACTTCACTTTCAGTAGATGGTAAATTTTCTGAGCAGAGACTTCTGTCTCATTTGTTTATTGCTATAATCGCAGGGCCCAGAGCAGTTTCAGCAAAAGTAGACACTCAGTAACTATGTGATGAATGAAGGAATGAATGAAAATATACAATATAGTTCTAAAGACTTACGTGTGATAAAACGTCCACCCATTCAAATATTTACAAATGTTTACATACCTGTTAAAATACAAGGAATTTGGAGTTTAGGGAGAAAAAAGTAAATCAAAGCATTTCACAGGTTAAAAACCTTTATAGCCACAGGATTCTTAACACAACCAAACTAGAAAACAAAATGGACCAAGGCAAAAGCCACAAGAAATCAGATCACAACTGAATTGATATTCAACAACCCAGATGGCTACGTGTAGTGCAACATACCTGAAATTCAGAGAAGAATGTCCAGGGCTGCTTTTACCACTTATAACCTTTATTACCACATTGCAAATACAGTAATTAGTAAAATGAGGTTACTATCACCTGAGCTGCCTGCATCTCACTATTCTTATGAGGAACAAATACAATGATGCAAGTAAAAGCATATGGGTATAAATATAAATATGCTGTCATTATATTACCTTGCATATATTGCTTATAAGCTCCCATAGGATTTAGAGCAAGTGGCCCTGGATCATTAATGTAATCATCTCCCCTCACTTATAAGAAAGCTGATGATGAGAAATGTGATCTAGATTTTTTTTTTTTTTTTTTTTGAGAAGGAGTCTTGCTCTGTCCCCTAGGCTGGAGTGCAGTGGCACAATCTCTGCTTACTGTGAACTCTTACAAACTCTGCCTCCTGGTTTCAAGCTATTCCCTTGGCTCAGCCACCTAAGTAGCTGAGACTACAGGCACCTGCCAGCAAGCCTGGCTAATTTTTGTATTTTTAGTGCAGGTGGGGTTTTACTATGTTGGCTAGACTGATCTCAAACTCCTGACCTCAAGTGATCTGCTAGCCTTGGCCTCCCAAAGTGCTGGGATTACAGGAGTAAGCCGGAGTGCCTGGCCTGATCTAGACAATTCTTTAGATCACTTCTAATTCTGAGATTCTGAGAAAGATCAAATGAATTGTACAGTGAGGAGAAAGAACTGATGAAAAGGTTGCACATCAGAAGTCACTGTTTTCAGACGCTTTTTAATTTTTTGCAACAAAATTTAAAATGTAACCACAGAAAGTAAGTACCCTGTTATTAATATGATAGAAAGTAAATCCACATCTTGTGATATCCCTAATAATTCCCTAGGAATCTCTAAGTGAAAATAAACCTCAGGGGAAAAAAACATTTTATTAAAAATTCTCTACATTAGAATCTCTGCGGTGCGGAGGAGAAAGTTATGTTCCTGACAGAGGTAGAACCTGTTATGTTTCAAATAATTGTCTAGATAAGTTTTAAAGAAGTCTTTGGAAAGGGATTACAAACCTCTACCATAGCCCTCAATTTATAATTATTATATACCAAATTTGAGTGCCTGAATGATATTTTGGATGTCTAAAACAAGCTGGTAGGATTTTGTAGGATAATTTTTAAATCTGGTCTATTTAAAGGCAATTCAAAATAAACAAATAAATGCTTCCACTGGAGAAAATAAGTGAACACTGAGAAAGAAACATCACTTCTCGGCCTTTTGGCTAACAATAAATAAATAAATAAATAAAAATAAGCATCATAACCACAGATAGGGATAAAGTCAGAGTCTACATTTTAGTACTAAGTACATTTTGATATTGCATTCTGTAACATGTAAACAATGTAATCAATATTTTATCATATCATCAATACAGCTATGGAAATAACTATACAAACAACCAAACATACAGACACAAAACTTCTCTTTAGTAACTCTCAAATAATTCTACACAAATTCTTGACTGCAGCCTACTCAGATACCAGGCTGGATTCTCAGGATGAAAGGATGAATGGGCCTTCAGGAAGCTCACAGCCAGCAGGTAAAACAACCAATGTAAATGAATTACTGGGTAGTTATATTGTAGGTGCATTTGTATATATCCCACCATTTTCACATTATGTATGTATATAATTTTGTCATTTCTTGGTGGCATAATGAAAAAAATAATTTTAAGAAAAAATGTATTTTAGGTGTAATAATTATTAAAATGTTATAAAGCTAATTTTATACGGTTTAATTATACATAAAGATCAATGCAATTTATACATAACTATGAAATAAACACATAACACTAAATTTAAACATGTTATTTTAGTAGTACATATTAAATATATATTGAAATTTAGGTATATATCAAATGAGACCAAACAGAATTTGTGACATATTTTGGGATTTCCTACCTTTTACAGTTAATAAAGTAAAACCGTTCATTTTTATAATTTCCACATTTTGTTTCTAAACAAAAGACATTTCAAATTGCTACTTGCAAATGATTTTTCGCCATTCAAAATACAAGAAGTTCGTGAATATTTTTGCTTTCTAAAAAAGCCATATTCGATGTTCCAAATCATGATTCCCTCTTTTAATATTAATTTTTAAAGTACTAGCGATAGCTTGATGTTCCACATAAAAATCTTTATCAGATGAATGTTCTCTTCAGATCAAAGGAATACCTTCTTGTAGTGAGTCTGCAGTAACGTTTCTGCCTTTATTCTCATTTACACAGGATATTAATAACGAGTTCCCTGTGCTTCCTTTCGATAACCAACACTCTACTGTGACAGAAATTAACTAAATCAGGGCCTCCCAGTGGCATGCCATGGTACATAAGATGAGAGGAACTGAAACTTTCAACCCGGTGTATACAAAAATAATCATTTTCTATGTTTATGCTTGGATGTGCAGAAGGTTGGGAAGCATTAAATTAAGTAAAGCTTGTCTAGAAATAGAAATAATTTAAAGCTGTAGAGGGCTCAAACCATTGTAGATTTCGTAAAACCCTATCTACATCTACGAAATAAACCTCCTGATGAAGCAGTCCTGCTGATAGCCACTGACTGTTGCACAGACCCACAGGATGACCTGCAAGCTCCCAAACGGCTCTGTTTTAAAGTGAAAATTTATTTAAATAATAAATAGAAATAGCAATAGGCTACCTACTCTAACAACATTAACTTCCCAATTACCTCCTAAACCATAGGGCCTCTCAAATCACTGTTGTGGAGACACTTTGCAAAACTGTAAATGACAGCTGGAAAAGGTAGGCATGTCTTTTCACTGTTTGATCCCTATCCCTGGCACACTGCCTGCCACATAGGTGACATTCAACATTTCTTACATGATGTGTTTGACCTGGACACCGAAGCAAGAGTTTAGTAGAAATTGGAAGAGACATGAAGAATGTAAAACGGAGCTCTCACTTGGTGATGAGGAAGTGGAGGAAAGGTGTTGTGACCTTCCCAGGACCAGAGCATAATCTTGCTCTGGGAGAAGTATATTCTGGGGTATGTTACCACCCCAGTTCCTCTCTTTGTGCTCTACCAAAATACAAAGAAATACAAAATTTCTGATTCTGGGTTCATCATTAGGTTGTATCCAGCATACCAGTATTTGTATTATTTTAATTCAAAATATACTTTATTGTAAAGAAAAGAGGCAAGAAAATATTAAAGAACTTGTCAGATAAATTTTTGCCTTCTTTTCCCACACCTTAGTAACTTGCAAATATTCTTTGAGCCTCAGTTTTCTCATCAAAATGGAGAAAAAATCGCCTTGGAGAACTGATGGGAGCATAGGTATAGATAGCTTTTATCATTATTCCTTGTTCATAATTGGCACTCAACATATGGAATGGATTGACTGGATGAGGCAACGAATTACTGTAATTTGTATTGTGAATAGAGATTGTGACTGTCACTTTCTAGCAACCCCTTTAAGGGCATGAGATTTCCTTCCTTTACTTTAATATTGTCACTACAATTTCTTTTCTTGAAAATACTGTGGCTATATACTGGAATATTTGGCCATGAAAATATACAATTTGTTGTTGCTTCTAAATTGTATAATGATCTTTAAATCAATGACTGTAAGTCAAATTAGAGTTGCAAGATTTAGCAAATAAAGATACAAGATGCCTAGTAAAATCTGAATTTCAGATGAACAACAAATAATTTTTTGTACAGTATGTACTATGTAAGTTTGGAACATGGTTACACTAAAAATTATTGTTTATTATATGAGACATGCTTAAAGAAAATATTTATTGGTAATCTGAAATTCAAATATAATGGGACCTGTAGGCATAGTAGGGTCTCTGGTATCCCTAAGCTGAAGATAAAGGGGAGCCTCATAGATCACAATTAGCACTTCTTCCTTCTATAGTTGAGTAAATGAAGGCCCAGGGAAATTGGTTACTTGGCCAAAGAAATCAAAGAAATGAGTGGCTGAGACAGAAGCTGAACCAGGTGTCCTCACAGCCCATCCAAAACTTTCTCCCTGCACACCATTGCAAAGATGCCCCTCCTGACTTGCCCATTCAGAAATTCTTAGGGATTTGCAATGTGAAATTCCTTTGTTATTTTGGTTGTTCTTAAAAAAAAAAAAAAAGTCAACCAAACAGTAACAAGAAACCTCTTATTCATCCAGGCTCCAACATGGCCTTCATTGCCTTTAAAAGCTGGACTGACGCTTCCTGATTCTTTCTCCATAAATACAATACCTGGCAAGAACAAGGAAGGACAACATGCTATTACAGCCCCCATCCTCCAGTCCACCTTCATCTGCTTCCCTGTAACAATTTGTTTTTATCTTTTTGACTTGTCTGAGAGCAGCAGAATAATAAGTATGATGTAAATGTGGCTTTGTGGGTGGTGTCTGCTGGGCACTGGAATTGTTTACCTTGTCATAAATAGCTGTCTTCAGGGACCCGCCCAGACAGTCTGCTTTACTAACCTCACAAACATAGACAAATCTCACACCCCTTGCCTGAGGATAGCCCACTAGAAACAGAAGGGATTAAGTCCCTAGTTACAATGCACGAATTTTAACAATAACATCCTGATCCGAATAAACACTGAGAGGAAAGTAAATAGAGTAGTGCAATGAATAATATGAGCTTTGAGATAAAATCGGCCTTGGTTTGAATCTCAGATCTGTCACTTACAGTTATGTGACCTCTGTGAATTCCACCTCTTAAGTGGAGAAAAATCCCACCTACTTTCTTCAAAACTCATAGGCACTGTGAGGGGCAAAAACGAATTATTTAAGGATTTTTTTTTTCCCCTAAAAACATACCTTGGTCATCTTTAGCCCAGGAGGGAGTTTTGCTTTTTAAATTTTGAGTTTAGGTGGAGATAAAAAGAGCTTTGTTGTGAAAATTGTACACTCAATTTGGAATTGTACACTTTTAAAGCGTGCAGTTTATTAAATGGATTATGAATGTATCTTAATAAACTTAAGAAACAAATGAATAGATTGGAGAGCAGAGTAAGTTGGCTTGGCCAGTGTCACGTGGCTAGCTAGTAAGTGGAAATAGTTTGGGAAAGGGCAAAGCTGAACTTTGTGAAGGAGCAGGAAGCTCAAGAAAACTGAAGAAAGCTGGAAAAAGTAACTGGGGGTTCAGGTAGGCCGGCATGAGATTTACTGTGACCACAGCGGACTATGAAGCAAGCAGCCTCTGCAGTCCATGGAACCTGACTTTCAGTCCATGGGAGCATGCCAATCTAAGCTGGCATGGGTCTCAGCAGAAGCCCCGTCCACCCAAAATCTACTTGAAAATGCTCCTGAAGCCAGAGTTATTCTTTTAGCAACAGATTGTAATTAGATAACTCTTCAGAAAAGGTAAAAAAAAAAAAAATTCTATGAGGTCAAAGGGTGCCCAAGGGATATTTAAATAACCACATTCTGTCTGGTCAACCCACTGGAGCATGACTGATTGAGAATTAACCCCTAACCAACATCAGCACTAAGCTCCTCCAAAAATCTTGTTACTGAGTAATTCACTGCTACTTAGTAAATTCTAGAAAATAATGTGTTTTAGATAGAGAATATCTTAGCAGGTAAAGTCAAAGCTAAAACAGCCCAGAGGTCAAAGGAGGAATTAAACAGATGTGCAAATTAATCTCTGAACTGCAAACACTCATGACCTGGAGCATGTATAAAGCAAAAGAGCCGAGAAATCACATCTTTTCCACTACCTGGATGAGGTTTCCATCACAGCTCACAGCTCTTCCAGCCTTGTGAATCAAAGATTTTCACGAAGTATTGCCTTCAAACTTCACCTCCTCGCTCAATAAGCGGCAGCACAACCAAGTGTGCCCACTTGTAGCCATTGTCAGGGAGATAAGCATTAGATGTGGTAAAAGAAATCTAAGAGAACAACTCAATTCTTTTTGAGTGGTAACTTCACTTTTATTTATATTCAATTAGTGAACAAAACAAACTCAAGAAACTACAGTCTCCCTGTCGAAAACTCAAAGTTCAGGCCTTAAGAACTGGATTATGTATTTACTTTATGCTACATTTAACCGTCTATTTACAGTGAAAGTCATTTTTTTTTTAACTTAAGCATGGCTAACATGAACAAAAAATACCATTGTCCTAGACCATTCTTAATTAAATTCAACAAATACGCATTGAGAACTAAGTATAGCAAGTGGTGAGTAGGGCTGCAGAGAACACAATAAAACAGAAAAACACCATCCCTGCCCTCAAAGTATTTACCACGGAGTCATCTTTTGATTAATTTTAACCAAGAGTTCATGCTACTAGACAAAACAATTGTTTTGTGTACGTATAAATTCTGCAAATTTATTTCTGGTCTTGAGTCATGTTTTTCTTTCTCATATCCAAAAACAATCTGGAAAACTTCCTCACCTCCAAAAATAAACTGGAAAACTTTGCCTAATCTCTCTCTTCAAATTAACTCCCCTTAAGTATTAATTAAACTTAGGTAAGAAGAAATTAAGTTACCTAAGTATCTTTTTTTGGAATCACCTTAATCATAAGTGTCCATAAAATCGTGGGATTTAATGTACGTGTTATATTTTTCAAAATGCACATTAAAAGAAATACTTGTCTATTAACATCAATACTTGGTGTGTACTACCTAAACCACATTGGGATCATGGCTTTAATCCACTGTCATAGTCAAATCCTTTCCCTCTACCTTTCAAAACCCCACCCCAACTGAGGTAGTTCCTCATATCCCAGCACTTAGCTGATGATCCTTTCTTTCAATTAACCAAGAAAATTAAGTCACTCAGACATGAGCTTCCTCATTACTTCAACATCCCATCACTTTTTCTTCTTCTTTTTAAGATTTTCTTCTGAGATATCCGTATTAGTCTCCTTTGATAATAATTTTACCTTTATTCCAGATTTCATTTTCTGTCAACTCAATTACTTCCTTTAATAATATTTAGTTTATCTTCAACTGATCTCTCTTCTTTGGTCTCGTTGCCTTTGTTTACATATATTTAGTTTAGAAATATTTATTATCTGCTAGGTGTCAGAGACTGTGCAAGGATTCTAGGGATGTAGATAAGAAAGACAAAGAAAGTCACAAACCTCAAGGAGCTTACTGGTGTCTAAGGAGGCAGGCAGGCCTGCCCTGAATCAACCCATAGTGTGATAGGTGCTATGTTAATGTGAACGCAAGAGTGTCCAGGGAGGAAACGCAATTAGAGCTTGAAGCCAAAAGTGGGAAGGATTCCCTCAGGGGAGGGAATGACATTTCATTTTATTGCTATTATCTTTCTCAGATGATTGCGGTGATTTTTTTTTTTTAATAAAAGGAAGTTGAATTTAGGTGGAGATAAAATAGCTTTGGTGCGAAAACTGTACACTCCATTTGGAATTGTGCATTTTAAAAGTGTGCAGTTTATTAAATGTATTATAAATTGACCTTAATAAGCTTGAAAAAACAAATGGATAGATTGGAGAGCAGAGGAAGGTGGCTGGGCCAGTGTCACACGGCTAGCTAGTAACTGGAAATAGTCTGGGAAACTGCAAAGTTGAGCTTTATGAAAGAAAACGGAGCTCAAGGAAATTATCTGAGAAAGATAATTGTGTGTGTTTTTTTTTTTAAATAAATGCAAGGTTTGTGGCAATCCTACCTCTAGCAAATCTATAGGCGCCATTTTTTCCAGCAGTACGTGCTCACTTTGTGTCTCTGTGTCACATTTTGGTGATTCTCACAATATTTCAAACTTTGTCACTATTATTACATCTGTTATGGTGGCCTGTGACCTTAAATGCTACTGCTGTAATTGTTTTGGGGTGCCACAAATTATGCCCATATAAGATGACAAACTTAATTGGTAAATTACGTTTCTATTCTGACTGTTCCACCAACTGGCCATTCCCCTATCTCTCTCCTGCTCCTCGGTCCCTTCTGTTCTCTGAAACAAAACGCTATCAAAATTAGGTCAATTAATAATCCTCTAGTGGCCTCTAAGAGTTCAAGTCAAAGGAAGCGTTGCACTTATCTCACTTTAAATCAAAGGCAGAAATGATTAAGCTTGGTGAGGAAGGCATGTTGAAAGCCAAGGCAATCCAAGACAGGTCTAAAGCTAGGCCTTTTGCAACAAACAGTTAGCTAAATTATGAATGCAAAGTAAAAGTTCTTAACAGAAATTAAAAGCGTTACTACAGTGAATACATGAATGATCAGAGAGCAAAACAATTGCTGACATGGAGTACGTTTTAACGATCAGGAGAAATGACCAAACCAGCCACAACATTCCCTTAAGTCTAAGGCTAATCCAGAGTAGCACTCTAACTCTTCAGTTTTATGAAGGTTAAAAGAAGTAAGGAAGCTGCAGTAGAAAAGCTGGAAGCTAGCAGAAGTCAAGTTCACAAGACTGAAGGAAAGAAGCCTTCTCCATAACAAAGAAGTGCAAGATGAAGCAGCAAGTGCTGATGGAGAAGCTGCAGCAAGTTATCTAAAAGATCTAAGCTCAGGTCATTAATGAAGCTGGCTACATGAAACAACAGATTTTCAATGTAGATGAAACACCCTTTCATTGGAAGAAGATACCATCTAGGACTTTGATAGTTAGAATGGAGAAGTCAATGCTAGCTTCAAAGGACAAGCTGACTCTCTTGCTAGGGGCTAATGCAGCTGGTGACTTTAAGTTGAGGCCAATGCTCATTTATCATTCTAAAAATTCTAGAGCCCTTAAGAATAATGCCTGTTCTCTGTATATGGAAGCAGAAAGCCTGGATGACAAAAATCTATTTACAGAATAGTTTACTGAGTATTTTGTGCTCACTGTTGAGAACTACTAGTCAGAAAAGAAAAAAAAATCATTTCAAAACATTACTGTTCATTGACAATGCACCCAGTCAACCAAAAGCTGTGAAATATATAAGAGATTAATACTGTTTTCATGCTTCCAAACATAATATCCATTCTACAGCCCATGAATCAAAGAGTAATTCTGACTTTCAACTCATTATTTAAGCTATACAATTTGTGAGACTAAAGCTATACATTTTGTGAGACTAGAGCTGCCACAGGTAGATATTCCTCTGATATATCTGGACAAAGTCAATTGAAAACCTTCTGTAAAGGATTCGCCACTTTAGGTGCCTGGAGAACATTTGTCATTCATAGCAGGAGGTCAAAATATCAACATTAACAGGAGCTGGGGGGAAGCTGATTCCAACTCTCATAGATGAGCTGGAAAGAGTCAAAATTCCAATGGAGGAACTAATTGCTGATGTGGTGGAATAGCAAGATAACTAGAATTAAAAGTAGAGTCTAAAGATGGGACTGAATTGCTACAAGCTCATGATAAAATTTGAATGGATGAGAAGCTGCTTCTTAACGAATGAGCAGAGAAAGTGGTTTCTTGAGATGGAATCTACCCCCGGTGAAGATGCTGTGAACAGAGTTGAAATGAAAACAAAACATTCAGAGTATTACATAGAGAGGTATGGTATGAAAGGATTGACTCCGATTTTGTAAAAAGTTCTACTGTGGGTAAAATGCTATCAGATAGCATCACTACAGAGTAATCTTTCAGAAAAGGCCTGAGCACAGTGCCGCATGCCTGTAATTCCAGCTATTTAAGAGGTTGAGGTGTGAGGATCACCTGAGGCCAGGAGTTTGAGACTAGGCTGGGCAACATAGTGAGACCCCTTAAAAAAAAAAAAGCTTTAATGAAAGGAACAGTCAATCAATGCAGCAAACTTCATTACTGTCACATTTTAAGAAATTGCCATCACCACCCCAAACTCCAGCAAACCACCACCCCAATCAGTCAGCAGCCATCAACATGGAGGCAAGACCCAGCAAAAAGCACACCTTGCAGAAGCCTTAGATGATCGTTTGCATTTTTTAGCAATAATTTTTAATCACAGTATTCACATTGTTATTTTAGATATTATATTACTGTATACTAAATAAGCTTTTATATGCACTGGGAATCTAGAATAAATTGTGTGACCTGCTTTATTGCAATATTCACCTTATTAGAGAGGTTTGGAATCAAACCCACAGCAGAACCTGAAATATCTCTGACACATGCCTGTAATGCCTAAGTTTAAATCACTAATCTTATACATTTCCTGGTTTTGTGACCCAGCAAGCTTATTTTGTCATCCACAAAAGGGGATCAATTATCTACTGCACCTGGCTATAGTGAGTAAGGAGACAGCAAGTACCCGTGGATCAGGCCCTCCAGTCAGTGAACCTGGATTCGAATGCCAACTTTACTTAAAGTAACCTTGAGAAGGTTACTTTACAACTCAGTGTTGGATTTTTATCAATAAAATGAGGATAAATAATAATATCAATCTACTGGGGTTGATGTGAGTAAGTAATCCTTGGAAATCATTAATCGGTAGGCATTCAATAAATATTAGACTCTATTATCAGAAGGTTTTTACCTCAAAATCTGTATGTAAACCCTCCTAAGTAAACAATATTAGGATAAATGGAATTCTTGTCCTTTATAATTCTGCATTCCATCATTCATAACTTAGAGTAGATCCCATCTATGAAATGAATTAAGTAGGAGAGATAAAGGTAAAACTTCAAAAGTATCAAATTGGCGAAGTAAAATAATTTAAATTTAAAAAGCAATTTGAGTTTTTCAAAATTCTACCACATTCTCATCTAATATGAATTGAATTGAGCCTATCTAAAATGTATATGTTGAAGTCCTAACTGGGAGTATCTCTGAGTATGATCTTATTTGGGCATAGGCTCATTGTGGATATAATTAAGTGAGGATGAGGTAATACCGGATCGGGGTGAGCTCCTAACGCAATCTGACTGGTAGTCATATAAAACAAGGAAATTTGCAGACAGATACACACAGAGAAAAAGTCAGATAAAGGTGAATGCAGAGGTTGGGGTGACTTCTCCAGCCCAAGGAACACCAAAGATTGACAGCAAACCACCAAAAGCTAAGTAAGACATGGGAAGGAACCGACCCTGCTGACACTGTGATTTCGGACCTCCAGCTTCCAGAACTGTGAGACAATACATTTCTGTTGTATAAGTCACCCAGTTTGTGGCACTTCGTTATATATTCCTAGAAAAGTAATACACCATTTGACAGAATGTTTCTTTCTAGCCAGAATGTAGATCTCAGTAACACATGTATCAATTCCTGAAACATATATTTAAATTTTAGTCTGAATCACACAATTGGTCATATAGCAAAATCTATTTTCTGTTTTTTTGTGTAATAAACCTCCTTTCCATCTACATTATAGGCTCCTTGAGAAAATAATATATTCATTTATTAATTCAATAATTAGTATCTAGTAAAGCCCTACTAAATGAAAGATGAAAAAACACATGTTCCTGCCCTCTAGGAATTCACAGCCTACAAGTCAAATCCTAAGTATATAAAGAACCAACATCAAGTAGGTTGGCATAGGCATTCCTGAGGCTCAACAGCAAAGCAACTTTCATTCCCATGGTTGTCAATGGTTCATCCCTTACACTTTGGCTTCTCGTGGAAAAATCCCGTGTTCTTCCAAGGACTGGTTATCTTCTTCCTTGGCCCCGACACCTACTTCCCTTCTTTCAACTTCAGTACAGTCCTCCACAGTTATAACAATCCTTTTTTCCTCCCAGAATAAGCAAATGACAGGCACACCCATAGGCAGGAATATAGGCCTATATGGACAAGGCCTATTTGGAGATGCCTCCCTAATGCTCATGATTCTACTGTTTTCTGACTTTGCCCTACCAACCAGGAATGCCTGCCAGGGAAGACTTTAAACTCATCTTTTGCACTAAAGGATTCTAGCAGAAGCTAGGCCAAAACAGACTTTCATCAGCAAGACTATGAATGCAGAATCCCATGGTGGTTTGGAGAAAGAGAGGAACTACAAAGTCCGCAGCTCATGATCTGAAGGAACCGTAGCCTTACTGCAGATCTCTGTGGATTTTCTGTCATGAGCCAAAGACAACCCCCACCTCTGTTTCATAGTCCCTATCTCACCCCTTTATTACTCAAAATTTTCCCTAGGCCCAGCTCCTCCCGCTTTCCCTTATTCCTAAACACATCCCACCTCTGCCTTCACTGTCCTTACCTCTTTTTCCCTGTGTTAAGGCATAGTGTTATATATTCAATTTATCAAATGTTTACTGAATGACAACTGTGTTGTTGACTTTGTGCTGGTGGCTTTCCCATGCATTTTCTCAAGTAATTTACACACCTACCATTACTGTTATTAGGAAAAGAAGGCTCAGTAAATCTAAATCCCCTGGCTAGGATTACATCCCTAGATCTGTAATGACCTCAAAGCCCATCCCACTTCTTATAGGCTTGAAAGTGAGAGTTCATAATGATGACATCGTTACCTGTTTACAGTTCCATACAGACAAACCAGTCCACCTATTTCTTTTAAAAAAAGAAACAAAACAAAACAAACACAACTTAGATCCGACCACAGGGGCAATTAGGTTGCCAAATCACTCTTTAGTGTAAGAGTAATTCTACAAGCACATTGTCTCTACTTAATCCGTAAAACCTATTCATTGCATATGTGAAAGTGTATGCATGGGCCAGAGTGTTTTCAAAGCATCCGGGCTCAAAATAAAAACACTAAAAAGCTCATTGTAACACTAGCATCAAGGAAAAAGACTCATAATACACGGTGTGAGATTTCCACATTGGGAAGATTTCAATGCAGTTTATGACATAAAAGTTAGCGGAGGGAGACAGGAAAGGGCTTGCCTGAACCCACAGGCCAACAAAAACCAGGCAGTTTAAGGCACTATGGCACTTTCTAAAACATCCTGGCCTCTGCTTATTCTAAGAAAAAAAAAAATCCCTGGCAAAGAGGATCCCTCTTCTCTCTGCTTTGCTTGATTTCTAGTGACCAAAGAAGTCACTGTCCAGTGATATCAAGAAATTCTGTCCCTAGGGCATAAATAGCCAGCACCTATAGTTCATGGTGTATAAGAGCCTGAGGGGCCTGGAGTGGATCCAACCCATTTTACCTAGTAAGAAACTACCTGGTAATACCTTGTTTGTATTTCTTGGAGGAGGGACACAAGAAATACTTATTTCATTCCATACAGTAATTCACCACAATCAGAGAGAGCACAGCAAGCGCAACACCATCTCCCAGCTGCTGATTACATCAAAGGCTTGCAGCACAAATTCAATTTTATGTTCATCTCAGCCTGCCACTCAGAAATTTTCTCTGAGGGATATGATTTTTTTCTGGATTTCATTTTAAGAATGATTTTCTTCATCCACAATCAATAAAGATATGTTTTCATCAAAAGACTCTATCTTGGCAGAATTCAGTTGGCTATTTCATTCCCTTTTGGTGACACAATATTAATTGAAATAGTTTATGTTGCACCTCAACTGGAAAAAGAGGCAGTGAAAATAGCAGCTATTCAGAACACATGTTCTATATACATCAACATGGAAGGCAGAAAATGATTTTCTCCTTCCCCAGGCGACAGCTATTAGCTATTCAAGAGAGTTGCTCTAACTTGGTTTATCTCTGTGATCTCACTGGAAAGAAAAATAAAGTCCTGACTGTTTATATTTTTTGTTGAGTAGAAAATCAAAATCCATATAAAGAAGATGCTTTAAATGCTTACATCCCACTTAAGAAGAGGAGAAATAATTATCTGTGTGCCTATGTGGCATAACGGGCCATCAGCATCACATTCATTATTTCCCTTAGCTAAAAATTGATAATGTTATTACAAATTCTTTTATTTTCAGTTTATAAATAATAATTATACCTGAATGCCTTGTATTTCTCAAAAACAAGCATATAGAATCAGCACAGTGTTTTGCACATTTACGAAAGAGGAGAAAACTATGCAATGCATTACAGAAAATAAAGCAATTTTGTTTTAACACTGGTTTGGGAAGTGGCAGTTAACTCATTTAACAAACATTTATGAAGCACCTACTGTGTTCTTGACTCTGGCTTCCTCTTGAGGCTGAGATGAAGGCCCCCCTTCCTATCCCATGATTCTGACAGACCATGGGGCCTCCATTACCACAGAGAGAGAAGGGATAGGGCCTGGTTCCCACAAAGTAGGTAGAGAGCGCAGCAGAGGCTGCACTTACTCTGCTGGGAGGAGATCAAGAAGAGTTTCTCCAAGGAAGTCCAATCACTGAAATATTCAGATGGTAATTTACATATGCAGTCTAAAAAAATGGGGGGGCATTGCTCAGTCTCTAATAAAAAAGGTAGTCTCCATCAACCACACCTTCTCACTTCCCCATTCTGAAGTTGTCTATTCATTATTCCTCTTTTTTTTTTTTTTTACAAGTAACTGAAACATTTAATGCCCAAACTAAATACTTCAAGTTTGGTTCATTATTCCTCTTAACATAAGAAGGTGCTAACAAAGAAAGTAGGGGTACTGATACCCTAAGGAGAATAAGGATTTCACAGGACTCTGGGTAGATATCACTCAACAGCGCATTTCTTCAAAGAATGACTTTAATTTGTGAGTGCTCAATACATACCTTTTACTGGATTTCTATTTAAAATGAAAAAAAAAAAGCATCAATTTAAGGAATAGCATGGAAATTTACAGAAATCTGGTTCAAGTCCCTATTTTATAAATTAATAAAGCAACATAAAGGCAAGCTACTTGGTTAAAAGCAGGGAGTGAACTCGAGTTTAGATTTTTCTAGGTATTTGACCAGATATGATAAGCCCTAAACAGAGAGATTACACTGTTCTTCAAAAAGTCTATGTAAATGTATACACGGATGCGGAAAAAAAATTGGTTAAAAAAAGAAGAAAGCTCCCAGCAGCATCAGAATCACCTGTGAGGCTTATTAAAATGCAGATTCCTAGACCCCACACTGGATGAAATGAATCAATGCTTTTAAGGGTTTAAATTTAAACTAGCTCTGGAAAGTCATTCTTGTTCACATTAAAGTCAAAGGAACTTGAATCTATCTCAGTATCCCCAACCTCATATATAACACAATTAATGAAATATTCAGATTAATTAATAAACTGAAGAAAAATATACTGCATGAATGAATGATCAAAAAGAAAAATTCTCACAAAAAGCTCTTACTCAGGATCGGTTTTCATGGTCTAGGAAGAACAAATCCCAGACCTGATCTGGGCCTTCCATAGCGAACAGGCCTAGCCTGGCACCCTAACCTCAAATGACCAAAACCTAAAGTAACTCAAATTTTTCCACATGCTGACGGCATTGCAAAAACACTGCATAAGATCTTTTCTTTGAAATCCATGTAGGGAAAACGACTTAAAAAGTATTCAATTGTTCAGCAAATTGGCACAATCTTTGCAACAGGAAAAAACTCATGCATGATCAAATTGTAATTTCGAGGCGAGTTCTTCCGAGTATAAAAGGATTTTAAAAGCTAACAATACTAAAGGAAAATCGCAAAAGTGCAAAATTCTATAACAAATTCCTTCCAAAATGTTCAGTTTGCTTTTCGGTGCCCCAATATAATGAATCAGGTTTTACTGTATCCTCCACACCAAAATGTTTTCTAAGACTCAGTTCAATAGCTCAGACTGAAGCAATGACTGGAGCAGGAAGCATGGCTTAAAACGGCCACCGATCTTATCGTGTAAATGTAAGAATGTCAACTTCTCTAGCAAGAGAACAACTCAAAGAGGAAGGAACTCCTTTCACAGAGCCTGGCCCCAAAACATAAGCTAACAACACAGCCTTAGTAGAAGGAAAGCTCATAGTGGTTGGAAAGAAGAGTAACGGTGGTGGAAGCATGGAATCTCATATTTCATTCTAAACAAGAACAGTTAAAACATTTCTTGGCCTGCTTTAGGACTATGCATGAAAGGCTTAAATCCCATCTAGATTTAGAGTAGTGTTCAGCTGTCTCTAAATGAGACAGCTTACCTGATTGCACCAGGTAAGTTAGTGTTTTATATACAACTAAGTCTTCCAACTATGTTGTGAGCTGGATACTCTCATATGATAGGCTTGAAGATTAAATTTCTACCTAATAATGTAAAATAATAATAAGATCCCCATTTGACACACGAGGAAACTATAGCTCAGAAGTCAAACACTTTACTAAGGTCCCATAGCCAGTAAAAGATGCGACACAGGAGGACAGCGTGCCATGATTTGCAGCTGTCATGTTCTGCCTTTCTAGCATACCTTCACACAAACTTCTGCCTTGGCCTGGAGTGCTTTTTCTCAGTACTTCCACCTGGCAAACTTCTGCAAAACTGGAACTTTCGAAACTGGAACTAAATTTTCACTGCTTTGAGCCTGTCCTAGTGAATGTTTAGCACTCCTCAACTCTCAGCCTTCCCTTTGCCACTTCTATCGGAGCACTTGTTACTCTGCTCTAATTATTACTGTTATATGAACTATTCCCTGAATGCATGCATTGAGGACATGCGGCAAGGATGATGGGGTGGTCCTCTTTCTCTTTTGCACTCTGCTGGCAGGGAGCTTTACATATAACAATAAATAAAAAATGTTGAAAGGGAGCCAAAGAATGAGCGTATCAGTTATGTAGGAATACGATATGGCTTCCGTAGCTGCCTCTCTTTGCTCCTCCTTCTTCTCCCAGAAAAGTCAGTTTGTAAATGTTCATCTTGAGAGTAACTCTGAAGTATATACAAAGAACAAAAGGCAGATGGAAAAAAATATCCTTGGCTATAGACATGCATTCTAATTTATACTACAGCAATCTAAAATCATATCAGCTTTCTAGGCTGATATGGTTCTGAGGGACTGTGTTAAAGAAAAACATCTCTTCCTGGTCCTCAAGGGGCGTGGTTTCAAAGGCAGGAGTTTCCCACCTCCACCCTCTCCATCTGGGGACCAGAGGGGTTTCAAATGTAAAGTTCTTTGACTAGGTTTCCCGTGCATGGGCTAGGTAGAAAAATCCAGGTGGGCTTCTTTGTCCAAAAAGCCTGTGGAAACCTCTGGGAGGAGGCTCTGTTGTGATCAAGCAGCCAATCTGGTATCAGAGTCGAAGATCAGTCACGCTACAGGAATTTTGAAAGAACTCCTCTCATTGGACGAGAACATGAATGGGACGGAATAACTCAAGGGTTAAAATTCCGCTACTCCCTCCCTATATAGAATCCTTCTCTGGATCCCCTCCCATGGCAGCATGGGAGCTGTCTCTCTTTCTCTTTCTAATAAATTGCTCTCTGCAAAACTTTGGGTCCATGATATTTATTTGAACAGCAAACTCACCACACCTCTGGGGCCCCTTTCCCCATTCTTCGGGGTAAGAGTGGCCAAGAACCTTGGATTGGGGAATTGAAAGTGTCTTTGGGACACCCCCACATCCCCCACACCCCACCATGACATCTTTTTGGCGAGCCAGTCAGGAGAACATTGGGCTTAAGAGCAGTGAGTGGTATGGACCCCTTTTGCTAGCTAATCTGTCCTTTCACTTCTTTGAAATTTGTTAAGGAGGTAAAGACTGGGTACAGTGGTACAGGCAAGGCTGGGTGGGCACCACCTGTGGAGAGCACCAGACCACCAGGCCTGCGTGGGGCCATGCGTGGAGGCAGCGGCTGGGCCCCGGCTGCCGAAGTGGCAGCTGCCTGTGCAAGCCATGCCCAGCCTTTCAAAATCATGGTCTAAAGACACAGATGTCAGGCTTTCTCTGAACCAGCTTCCCTTTCTTGCTGTTCTTTCTTTCTCTGGGCCAAGCCGAGGGCCGGGGGGAGGAAAGAGCAAGGTCTTGAACTCCCAGTTCAGTCTGGTTGAGGCTGGGGCTCCACTTAAACCTCCAAAGAAAAAGCCACCTATGCCTTTCAGGCCCCAACCTCCTGGGTCCAGATTTCTGTAAGGCAAACTTCTTCCCAGCTGTTTCCTCTAAGATATTTCCTACACATGAGGACCTCCTACAATACACAGGGCCAGTTCCTTTAGTCAGCAGTGCTAGGTTCTGTCCTAACAGAGCCAGAGTCTTTCAGTGGGTACTGGAGGCTATAAGACATTGTGTTTCTTGTCACCCACAATTTCCCAATCCAACTGAGTGATGCCAGAATCCAATGATGTACGATTTGTCTTGCCTAGGATTGGCTCTCCATACGGCAGGGCTTCTCCATCTGGAATACTATAGTCAGAATGGGTCCAAGGCTCAAACAGTTAATTACAGGCCCCACAACCCTAGCGCATATCCCTATAATGAAGAATAGGGTAGGGGAGAAGGCCTGGGTCCCAAGGGCATAGTTCCCACCTGGGGCATGTGCCCAGCCATTACCTTCTTTAAGATTGTTGTGCTTAGAGGCCCATCTCAAGAAGTTTATTCTCCTGGGGCAGTTTTATGATCAGGCCTATGTTAATTGAACTCTTGCTAGGGAATATTGGAATCCATTGCTGAAGCTCACTGGCCTAGTTCTTCAAGGATGCACTGGTACAGGGCCACTAAACCTGTCAGTCTCTATGTCTTTAAGGTGGCCATAAGGACATTCAGACAGTGAGCGTGTTTGCATGATGTTGGTAAGCATGACTAAACCCGGAACAACGGAGGGCCCAGTAGATGATCACACAAGGAAACTACAAGGTGCCATAACTGGGGACGCCCCAGGGCTAGCAGTTGCAAGGAGTAACGGGGGATGCAGGCATCCCTGTGTTCAATTTCAGATGGGTGCTACTCTTCCCCAGGCAAAGTCGTCCTTAAAGTGTATCCTGGATACCTGGGACCAATTTGACCTACGATATTTGAAGCAGCAGCAGCTCATTTTTCTTTGCCAAACAGGGTGGCTGCGATACTCTCTGCTCAGTAGAGAAACCTGGCCTCCTAAGGGAAGTATAAATTATAACACCCTCTACTCTCTGCTCAGTGGAGAAACTATAAATTATAATACCCTCTACGATTAGACCTATTCTGTAAGAGGGAAGGTAAATGGATTGAGGTCCCCTATGTGCAAGTTTTCTTTTCTTTGAGAGATAATCCTTGGCTATGTAAAGCCTGAAACCTATACCTTACTGACCTGCCTTCAGGACTACCCCCATATTTAGGCCTCCCTGTAGCTCCTCCCTCCACTGATACCGGCCAGGTCTCCTCAGCTCCTGTAACCCAAGAGGAGTCAGGGAAGGCCAAGCTGCCAAGGCACCTCAGGCTACGGGGATGCCCCAACTCTGACCCCTAAAGGCAGCAGGAGGAGAATTTGGCCCCACCAAAGTACATACCCCTTTTCACTTTCTGACTTAAAGCAAATCAAGGCAGACTTAGGGACATTTTCAGATGACCCGGACAAGTACACAGATGTTCTGCAGGGCCTGGGTCAGTCCTTTGAATTATATTGGAAAGATGTCATGTTGGTGCTTAGTCAGACCCTAACCAGCAAGAGAGAGAGGCTGCTCCAGTACTGGCTCAAGAGTTTGGGGACACCTGGTACCTTAGTCAAGTACATGACCAAATGACACCAGAGGAGAAGGATAAATTCCCTACAGGTAGACAAGCAGTCCCTAGCACGGACCTTCACTGGGATCCTGACTCAGAACATGGGGACTGGAGCCGTAGGCACCTATTGACCTGCATACCTGCGGGATGAAGGAGAACTAGGAAAAAGCCCATGAACTCTGCAGTGTTATCCACCATAACTCAGGGACAGGAAGAAACCCAACAGCCTTCCTTGAGCAGTTACTGGTGGCCTTAAGAAAGTATAGTCCCCTGTCACCAGACTCCATTGAGGGTCAGCTAATACTAAAAGACAAATTTATTATGCAATCAGCAGCAGACATTAGGAGGAAGCTTCAGAGGGTGGCCCTGGGGCCAGAACAGAGTCTAGAAACATTACTAAATCTAGCAACCTCGGTGTTCTATAATAGAGACCAGGAGG